ATTGTACTCATAATGGAGAAATTAAATTCTGCAGCTTAACCAATGCCCTTAGGTAGCAGTGGGCTGCCACTGTGCAATGCCTGGGAAGCAATTACATGTAGGGGTCAAGGGTCTTGCTCACTGAGCCAGAGCGCAGACTGCGGGGTTAGAACTGGGTGCTTGTTTTGGATGGCATTATATTCTTAATTTCTGGGGTCCAATGTGTTTTTGCAAGTAACTTTATGTATTCTGTAACATGTTTAGCAAGGTTTAGGTGTGTTCATTGTTAAATGGGAAAACCTGAAATCCAGCATCCGAAATGTGTCAAATACGTTTGAAGTCAATTTTATCAGGACCACTTTATACACATCCACCAATAGGAGTCTACAGTCAAAATTTTCAATTAGGTGGCATGACTCAATGTATGCAGCATTGTATTGTATTTACCTCCTAGTGTTGCATGTGGATGAGTATGTGCTTACATACTTACATGTTTCAATATCAGCAGAAGCCAGTTTTCCTCTGTTGTCAAAATGAATTCTAATAAATTTACCCTAAAAGGGAGACTTGTATTAACTCTTGTCTCTAATGATCTAATAAGGCAAAAAATAATTAGTTGATCATCGGTAATCAAGAAACTTTACTCTAGTCATACAATTACTTACAAATCTGGAGGAGTTGTCATTTCTGATGGTCTTGGCATTGCCAAAGGCCTCCAGAGCAGGGTTGGCCTGAATGATTTGATCTTCCAGGGTACCCTGATGCAATCAAAACAATTTTATGTCAGATTATAGTCTAAATGCTTTATATTTTTCTCCAGGGAGTTAAAAAACAAACCTTCTTTTCACTTGCAGCATCTTTTTTCCCAGTGGGCACAGCAGCGATGCTGGCAAAGTACTGAATGACACGTTTGGTGTTTACAGTCTTTCCAGCTCCGGATTCTCCGCTGAGTCAAAGATACATTAATGGTTTTTAGGCCTTGTTCTACAACCTATAAAAACTAAACAAACTTTAGCTCAGAGTGTAACTTACGTGATGAGGATTGACTGGTTCTCTCGATCTGTCAGTAAGAGATTATGTAGCAAAATATTACAGTATCATAAAAAATACCACAAGATGAAACAAGAAGAGAGATTTCTGTACCTGCCAGCATGTACTGATAGGCATTATCAGAGATGGAGAAGATGTGAGGAGGAGCTTCACTCCTCTTCTTTCCTCTGTAGGCAACAACCACCTCCTGGTTGTAGACTGGCAGCCACTTGTAGGGGTTGACAGTCACACAGAACAGCCCAGAGTAGGTCTGTGTGTAAAAGGGTAATAAATACATAGAATAATGTCATACATGGTATGAATGAGTCTGATTTTTCTACATCTTAAAGTTTAGCATTCTCACATAGATCATCCATGCTGCGTAACGCTCTTTGAGGTTAAACAGCACAGCTGGCTCATGGAGGAAGGTGAACATCGCCATGTCTTCAATTTTATCAAACTTAGGTGGGTTCTGAGGATGCACATCACATTCTTTCACGGTGACAGTCTGTAGAAAAAAACAACAGCTTTGTTTAAAACTTCAACTAAACAGAAAACATCTGCAAATTTTCTTAACTTAAACCTGTTAATACACAATACAATTCACTTGCCTTCCCAAATTCAGTATCAACAGTGACTTTGTCACCATCACGACTTTGGACGGTTGCTTTTACGTACTCGACCTCTGGATCAGGTACAAAACACTCTCTCTTCATGTCAAAGGGACGAGTCTGGGCCTCCAGACGCTCCTTATCAGATTTCCTTAGATAAGGAGCAGCAGCCCCAAACTCTGCCATGGCAGCATCACCCATGTTTCAGCCTCTAAAAAAAAGAATGTGAGCTTGGATTTCAAATGCATTCTTAACTCATAAGATGAGCATTAATGTGAGAAACAAGAATACAAATCAACAAAACCATCTTAACTTCAGAGTTTGAATTTTATCTGGAAATTAGTGATATGGAAAACCTTAAAATAATTAGGAAAGTTTTGTTTTTTTAAAACAAATTTTTTTTTTATTAACCACCTTTCAAAAACTTTCACCCATTTCTTGTCATTTCAGTTTAGGAATAAGTGTCCTCAAATTGTTATTGGATAACATATAGACATGGTAATTTTGAACTTAAAATTGGATTGCTGCCAATTAAATAGATTTTACCTGTGCTTTATTTCAGTCCCTTTGAAATGTGGAGTCTTGCTGTTCAAATGCAAAAGACAACATAAAAGCAAGCTTAGTGTTAGGAAACGATTATTTGAACAAGAAATTAAACTGTAAAAGGTCAGACACAACAGCAAATTATTGAGTAAAGTTTGTACTTACCTCTTATTGTCAACCCTCTCAGGAGAATGATGGATCCAGTGGCTCACCTTAGACTTTCTCTCCTTAAATAATGCTCTGTAGTCAACCAAATATGGATATGAATATCAGAGAAATGGCATCCAGTTTGCTCGTCACAAAAGCATGCTCCAAACTGGGTTGAACCCAGTGCTGCTATTAGTTGCTCTCACCTTGAACAAAAGACCAATACGCCAGAGTGGAGATGACAAAGAAAGAGGGAGGCAGGAGGTGGGGAAGCAGCCTCTGGCTGTTGAATCATTTCATCTCTGCCAATAGGTTGTTTGTTTTATTGCTTTTACTTAACAATGAATAGTAAGTGAAGTTTATTAGTTTAATAGCATTTTTAAATGGAATTTTTATCAATGTTTTTAAGCTATGAACAATGGTAATTTTACTCCAACATCCATCTCCAGTTTAAGATTAAGAGGAAGCATAGTTTTGAAACATTGGATTTATTGAGCAATGTTAAAGAGACTAAACAATTTTGTTAAACTCATCTTGTGGAGCCTAGGTCATTTTCAAGTCTGAAGTTTAATTATAGTCTATTCCGTGATTGGTAGCAGAATAGGGATGGAGAATAAAGAGCTGCAGCTGTCTTTTGCACAGACACAAGACAAGGGCAAGGTCACAGTTGTGAAGTCTTTCTTTTATCACTCACTACTATTCCCAGTGAAGTCAACAATAGACTTCCTTAGAGACAATGCAGTTCCATTTAAGTTTATATTATATAGAGATATATAGAGATACAGAAATCTGAGCTCCATTGTGTATGCTGTAAGTGGAATGCAAATGATATTTATTTTTAAAAGTGAATATTTGTAGCTGTCGTTTTTTTGATGACTGAATGTCTTGTAAAAAAAATCATTGTTTTGTACAATTAAATTCCTATTAAAATGACATCCACTACCCCAGAGAAAGAGTTGGATACCAAAGACCCCTGGGGAAGTAGTTATAGCTGAAGTTGTCTTTTGCAATTCTGTGAAATATGAGATATTACCTTTTAAGTTGCCCATTTTTTAACAGTGTGTACCAATAATACGTTGATCTCAAACTTGCCTTGTTTGTCTCATTATAGTGCTTTGTGATGTTTTAGATTTGTCTCTAAATTTTACAAATGTCCTATTTGTTTGCTCACTACTACAACACAAGTTGATAACAAAACACTTATCACTATTTTGTGTTCTAACATTAAAGAAGCTTTTACAAAAGGAAGTCCTGCACGACTACCTGTGAAGTTGGATTAGTACGACAAACTGTCAGAAATAAGGTAAATTTTTAATACTTACAGCTATATAAATGGTTCTTTTTAAGAACAGCAGCAATATGCGATAGATATTGGAGTTTCTTGGTAACTTTACATTTTGCCATTCAGCATTCCAGCTTGGGGCTTTTTTTTGGGGGGGTTCAATATCTGATTTTATTTTTGCTGGAATCACCTTGCTCTAATGTGCAAATAAACTGTTTGTCAAAATGCAGCAAATTTAGGCAAACAATTGGTTTCTTAAGAGCTCAACAATACTAATAGTCTGCCATTTAACAGATGTCAGTTGGAAGTTTTTTTATATTTTGTTCCAGTGCTATAACCTCTTGTGAAGCCTGGAACACAAAATCAACTCTATCAAGATGAATTATGGTTAAAAATGTCTTATTGTTCAGATTTTTAGCAGTCCTGGTAATTTTCTAATTATTCTTTTTTCATTTTATTTGTTTTGAACAACTTTTTAAATATATTTAAGCTAAAATAGGTGTTGTTTCTGTTAGTTTGGATTCTCAATGTATTAACATATTTCAATAGAAACCATTTATTTCTATGTGACCTATAATCCAGGCACATGCCCAGATGAGGCATTCAGGGACTGCCCTTTCTCTGCTCCTGTCGACACGGCATTGTTTTCTTCTCTTTATTCTTGAGCACAAAGATAACTTGTGAAATTCCTGCTGGCTGCCTTTGAGGGCTTGGAGGTTCAGAGGAGCTTGGGGGCAGCTTTTGACGCAAGTTGCCAGGACAAGAGTTGTTTTATTTTGAATGATCAGCAGCAACAGGTGATAACTCCATAAGCAAGCCAAGATATAAACCCCTACAGTAATTTTATGTGGGATGGTATCATTATATTTAAGAATATGTTAAATTACTTCACAGGCACCTCAGTGTGTGAGTTATTTGCAGATTTAGTGTAAAAATGAAAATGAAAAAAAAACTTGCTAGTTCACTTGAAATTGCCTTCAAATTTAAGGCTAAAAGAAGCTTTGGCCTATAGAGTTTCTTGGATTGACAGAATGTGTCGACACCAATAAAGTAATCTCTGTGAAAATCTCACTATGGATGTTGCATCTTTCTCCATCAGGTCATGTCCTGACTTGACTCTACACTTGGATTTTCATCTCTGTTACTTTTCCCTTAGTCTATTCCAGGCTCCCATAGAGAACACTTGTACATTCACTGAAGGTCTCATTCTCAGCTGTCCGCAGCCTTTCTGTCTATGACTTTTACATCACATGAGCAGCCCAAAGGAAGGTGTGAGGCACCTTGCACCACTTAAGTTGAGAAATTTGAGCCAGCACAGCTATCAGGAGTATTTGTTATTTGCTGTTGTGAAAGGTCACTTCTAAGGGGAGTTGATTGTTCTCGTCCTTGTCTTTGCCTCATTCATTTAGACTATGGGCCTCTGAGTGGACTCAACATGAATTCTGATTGTGCTCCAGTGCAGAAAAGAACCAAGACATCATATCATAAAGGTACTTATTTCTTTATTTCTCTGTCTGAGAGTTTATTGTTTCTAAGTTGTGACGAATTTAATTTGGATATATTTACCAGTATTATAACCACCAGTGTCATATTAAATGTTGAAATAGTTTTTGCATGAATTTAGAAAGGTCTTGGAGAGGAATGCTTCTCTACCTGATGATTTGCCTTCAGCAAGTTAGGTCCTGCTCTGTGACACAACTGGACCTTCCTTGTGTGGAGCTGAAGATGTCATTAAAAAAAAGGAAAAACCCCAACAACTAAATGTAGGTTAGTAGCTTTCACTTTTTTAAATGTGATGCTAAGCTATGTTTTTCTGCAATTTTGATAATTTCATACAAAACTATAAAAGCAAAATCCATGTATTTAGTAAATGGTGGAAGTCTTAGAAGTTTTGCAAATTGATTAATAATTGGATAGCCAGAGGTTCCTTGAAGAACATCTCCTACTAAATTAAACCAGGTAAAACTAAAACTTTTCCACTTGAGGAGTTCTGGAGAGAGCATATGGACAGACGGAAAAAAAAATGTTTTATTTTAAATGAAAAATGTTTATAAATTTTTTTTCACAATTTTGATATAATTACTGCTCTAACCGGTTTCTCTGTCAGCTAAAGGTATGTCATAGAGTCTCTATTCTCAACTTAAAAATTAATTGATTACTAAATTAGTTGGCGATTATTTCAATAAGCGATAAATCACTATTAATCCGTTAAATTCTTTCAGCCCTCGTTATTTTAATTTATCTTCTGCATTCATAATGCCACATATGAATAGGGAGTATTTACTCAATATAATGGATTTAATTTCTTGCTCATATTTACCTGTAGTGTTATGTCATAGTATGCTTATGAGAAACTGTCTGTTAATCCTAAATGCCTTAGTTAAAATTACTAATACTATTATGTTCATGTTCTAAAGCTAGAAAATCTAAAAGCCATTAAAAAAACATTTCTCTTTCAGTAAGACTTTTTAGGTTTAGTCTGTAAAACTGTAACATCTTTAAATTGAAAATAGACAGAATTTTTATTTTAATTCTAAGACTTCTTATCCAAACTTTAAGAAAATATGCAGCCTTTTGTGGTCACACCTAAATCAGTTTTCTCAGTGAAGACAACTGAACTCAAAAGTTTGAAGTACGGTATGTGTTTCGTTTAATTAGACCGGTGTAGTCCAAGTTTATGTTTTGTCTAGTTTAGTAGAAAAATTATGTTTTTTTTCAAACTGCTTTTTACTCCACATCTTTTCCTGTTAAAATGCAAAGATTTGGTCACAAGCAGGGGCAGATCTTGGCCAAATGGGGACCAGAGTGGGGCCAGTTTTTTTTTTTTTTTTTCAAGGGCCACAGAATAAAAGAATGAAACAAAACAAAAGAAATCATATTTGATAATTTAATGTATTTAACTAGGATAAAGACTCCTTTGCATCACAACAGCTTCAGGTTGCAGACCTGTGATCTAGCAGATCAAACCTGTGACCCCAATATCCTTACAACTGAACCTGAAAGTACCACACCTGTTTTGAAATACTTTTAAACTAAATATGTAGTTAAAACATGAACCAACCAATTTCTGTGCCTTTTAATGTCATATAAAGAAAAATACAGTATGTCGTCTCATGAGCATAACAGGGGCCAGGGCTAGTTTGACAGGAGCACTGGTCCCTGTCTAGAACCAAGCCATTTCAGTATGTATGGAGTCTTAAGCCCAATAGCATTTACAGTGACAATTCTCATGCTGGTAATAAATCTACAGATTTTGTTTGTTTGTTTGTCTAATTTATTTAGTAATTTGAAGGGAAAATTAGAGATGAAACCTGAAACTTTGAAATATGTCTAAATTTAGTGCTTAATTAATTCAAGCATTATTGTATCCTTATGGCATCACTTATAAAGAAAAATCTATCATCATACAAATTGTCAAATGTGAGCAAATAGTTGCAAAAACAATGTATTTTAGGTATCTGCAGTGAGTTGTAGTGTTTTATTTCCTATGCAATACATTAATGCCATATTAATGTTCTGTGATTGTGTTTATCCAATTTTTATGAATTCTTATCTGTTCTATTATGCTTACACATTTTCCAGATAAAATTATTCACTTTTTTTAAACCACAAAGCTTTTAACATTAAAGAGTCAAGAGGCTGTTTTAGATGCGCATATGATTTATTCTACTCATACAACAGCATGCGTAGGGAGACACCAATATATATGGGCGACAGGTGCCTCAGGAACTATGTTATTGGTTGTAGAAGCATCATTCTTCATCATGTGCTTTCTAAAAGAAAAAGGAAAAAGAAGAAAAAGTGCAAAACGTTTCAAATTTCTATAGAAACCATCAAGGGTCACTTACTTATTTGAAACAAAATATTTAAACAGGCTGTATAAAAAGACACAAATCTTTTCTCTCTGAATGAAAGAACAATGAGCAAGACAATTATTGTGGAGATTTTTTTTTTACTTCAGTTACATTCCAAATTTTTATATTTGGTAAAATTGCCTTTAAAATGTTTGACTAGGGTGAGATATTGTTGGACGCCTTCAACGGCAGGGCAGTTAAAGCCCAAGCTTTAACTTCTGGGCTCTTGTCTTGAGATTTTGCTTCAATATTTGCTTTCTGGGGTTCATATGCTCAAGTTACATCAAAGCAAGTTCATGGTTGCAACATAGAACCTGTCTCCTTCTCGGACAGGACTTGGACCTCTGTATTGGTTATACTTGCAGAAAATTATCTAAACAACAGATGTAGAACCTTTAGCTATGTTGAAGGTCTGTACAAGATTAACCAGATGAAACGTTTCCTGATATTTGGGCTCCATTCCAATTGATTTTATCATCACATACAAGGGTAATAGTTGTTGCCTTAGTAAAATTCAATCTTAAGTCGGTCTTCACTTAACTCAGATGTTATGAAATAACATTTTAAAAGAAGCTTACATATCCATGAAATTATCTTGTTGGATTTTCAAAGTTGTTTGAAGGTATAATAATCTTCTGAATCTAAACTTAAAATATCGTTCTCTTTGCCAGTTGACTCATATTATGCTAGCAAATAGGAGGTAGAAATAATTTTGGTAATCAAAGCTGACAAATTTTGTCTGATTTAATATGAGATTGTGAAAAATAATGTATACTTGTGTATGTAAATATATACTTACACCTCAATTTCATATGTCAGATTGAACTCCAATGCCTAATAGAATTTTTTTTTTTTTTTATCCTTTGAATAATGAACTATTACAAAATAACACCTTATAGTACAAACATGTGCTATATATAACATTGGAGGAAATTAGATCAACCATGGGTTTATTTTTAATTTGAATGTTTATATATCATTTTAAGAAAGAATAGTTAAGGTCCAAATTTTTGCAAGTTTTATTTGTCTTGGTCTGAACATATATAACTGTTCTTCATACACTGGACCTGGCTAAAGATATACATACATACATACATACATACATACATATATATATATATATATATATATATATATATATATATATATATATATATATATATATATATATATATATATATATATATATATATATATATATATATATATATATATATATATACTTTTAAAACTTATTTGAAATAAATATACAAACCTTTGACCCAACATCACGGCTCTTTGCTCGTAACTTGTTGACTTGAGACTCGGCAATATCAGCTCTTTCTTCAGCCTCATCCAACTCATGTTGGAGCTTGCGGAACTTGGTAAGGTTGTTGTTGGCCTGTTCCTCCTGTTAAACAAACAGGAACAATCATGTCATATGTATCTAATATGGCAGATAAGTATGTTATGTAATGCTGCGATTTAAAAGAGTAATACTCACAGCGTCTTCTGCAGACTTTTTATAGGATTTCACTTTAAGCTGTAGCTTGTCTACTAGATCTTGGAGACGGGCCAGATTTTTACGGTCCTCTTCAGTCTTGTTTTAGCCAAAAAAACAAAGAATGAAGACATAGAAACAAAATTATTAGATAAGCTTTTATTTTTTGCAAAAACAAAATAAAGCTGTGTTGTAGATCAATGGTTACCTGGTAGGTCAGTTCCTTGATACGTCTCTCGTACTTTCTCACTCCTTTTATGGCATCGCTGGCCTTTTTCTGTTCACTTTCCACTTCATTTTCAAGTTCCCTGACCTGCAGGATTCCAAAAGAAAAATTATTAGAATCATAACTGCGTAGATTTACAAAACATTTGATGTCCATGTCCAAATACTATGGATAGTCGTTCCATCGTCTGCTCACCCTGGCCTCCAGCTTCTGAATCTGCTTCTTGCCTCCCTTCATGGCGATCTGCTCCGCCTCATCCAGACGGTGCTGCAGATCTTTGATGGTTTGCTCCATGTTCTTCTTCATACGCTCCAGGTGAGCGCTGGTGTCCTGCTCTTTCTTCAGCTCCTCTGCCATCATGGCAGCATCAGTGATGGCTTTCTTTGCCTTCTCTTCAGCATTTCTGCATTCCTGAACAGCCTCCTCCACTTCAGTCTGCAGCTGGACCGTGTCACCTTCCAGCTTCTTCTTCTGGTTTATCAGGCTGGTATTCTGTTTTTATTTAAATTATACATATTTTCAAATTGATAGAAAGAGGCTGACACACATTTTAAGCTACTTTTCATGCAGTTCTAAATCTTGTTATATATATTCATACCAGGGAAGACCAAGTTTGGGGGGTAATATTCTAATTAGTTGTCTATTTGAATTATGTACTCATACTGTTCCTGATATTGGCCTAATCAATAAATAATTGTAGTCAAACTGGTCCTTGCTGCAACATTTTGCAAAGCTGCTAAACAAACAGCATATGCTACAATGTCTAAATTCAGAGTAAGGATATATGGACTTACCTAATGTCTCCCTATACTATAAAAACATAAAGCAGATAAACATGATATGGTAACTATACACCCATAGTAATATATGGGTATTATATGTGAAGACTGTATTTTACCTGTGAGTGCAGTAGCTGCACCCTCTCGCTAACATCCAGCAGCTCTTGCTCAGCCAGTTTACGGCTCCGTTCAGTTTGCTCTAAAGCAGCCCTCAGTTCCTCCAGTTCAGCCTGAAGCAGGTTGTTACGTCTCTCAACTATGGCAATGTTTTCCTTCATATCATCATTGGCTCTGAGAGAGTCATCAAGTTGAAGTTGAGCATCCTTTAATTAATTGGCGAAAGTGAAAGAAAATATGAATATAGATCAGTTACGGATAAATATAGAAAATCCCATCAGCATTTTGTTTCTTCTCTTGTTCTCTGACCT